CTCCCCTGCCCGGCGGGGGCCCTCTGGTCTCGGCCGGTCGCTGCGCCGCGCCCGCACTGCCCCTTGCCCTTGCCCTTGCCCGTGCCGCGGGCTCGGGCGGCGAGGACAGCCCGGCAGCGTCTCCCCGGGCGCGCGGAGCAGGGCTCGGGGGAGGGGAAGTGTTGGCAGATCCGAGCTCGGCGCGTCTCAGGCCTGCGGAGCAAGGCTCTCACTGACCAGCTGCTGTTTGAAGTCTTTTCCCAGCAGGCAGTAAAACCTGAGAGGGTTTGGGCTACAGCAGGAGCCGCAGCCCCTTCCAAATCCTCGCTTTGCTCTCTTGCCCCCGGGACAGGCACCAGCGCCACATCCGTGCCATGGCCACGCTTGGCTCCGAGTTACCCTACGGTTTCCTGAGAGAGGAAAGAGAAAGGCCTGCAGGGGCGATGGCTGAGGGGAGGGGGCTGTCAGGCCGCTTCTCCACGAGCGGGTTGATTTGAGGGGGGTGGGGCAGTCACTAAAACAGCAGAGATGGGGACGCAGAGCCCTTTCGGACGCAAGGAGCAAACATGGAAAGAGGGGGATGTGCAGCTGATGCCAGACACGTTTGTGTTGTTACAGGAGTATTTATTTATTTACTCAGCCGACGGTAAACAGGACTGTGCTCAGTTGCCTGTGGAAAATACATCTCTCGTGATGCCAGCAGGCTTGTGTAAATGATCCTCAGAGCAAAGTAGCCGGCACAGATCTTTGCTCTTGAGTAACGTGCTGCCTCGTGTCAGATCCCTCTGGCTCCTCGTTGTTCCCGTGGTTGGAATAAGGACCTGGGTTCAGCTCAGCTGCATGGTGAGGGTGTGCAGGCATCTTAAGCGGCTTCTGAGGTGACACTTTTGTGCGGGCCGGGAGCGGTCCGGGCCCTTTTTCACGCCGCTCGGGCTGTGGCCAGCAGCCGGGCGACACGCTAGAATTAGGCACGGACACTTAATGGTTGATTCAAGATTGTTTACTTACACCGAAGGTGGTCGCGGTGTAGGCTGGACAGTTTCCCAGGCACAGCTCCGCTTAAATCCTCGTTTGAGGACTTGGACAATATTCGGATCACTCCCACGGAGTTGTTGAGGCTCCGTGGGTCCTTTTGCGCGCAGGGAGAGGGATACGTCGAGGATTGTGAACAGCGACGGGGAGAGGCTAGAGGCTGATCAGACCCCTGTTGCCTGCTTGAAATGCGCTGGGTCCAATAGGCTCCACAGCATTTAGAGATCTTCACACAGCGTGAAGTCCCCTCCTCCTCCTGGTGTTGGTGGAGTCCTCCAACTTGGGCAGAAACCACTCAAGCCTTTTATACGGCTAGCAAGCCA